CCAGATCCATTCGTATATCCTACTGCACCAGAAGTAGCGTCATCCATGATACCCTGAGGCATTCTTGTTGAACAAGAAGATAGGTGGCATCGAATTTCCACTAGCACTAACAGCTAAAGCCATAGTTATCATGCTACCCCGCTCAGTAGCAGATAATTTTCCAACACGCTTGGCTCCTTTTAATGAAATAACCATTGAATTATGGTTTGGAACCGTAGAGAAACCTGTCTCATCCATGTTCCAAATGGAGCCAGGTTCGAACTTTTTGGCTTCTAACACTTTCAGAAGATTTGCAAAGAAATATTCCACATTTTCCTTGCAAAAGGCTTTAACGCGGTTTATGCTAGTATTTTCCGGTGTACGCAAAGATAATTCCTTGTGCCGAGACATAAAACTGTAGTACCATCTACGACTGGCCATCAAATCATTATCTCAACTTGGCGAATATTCGGCACCAATCTTTTTAGCAAACTGGTAAGCTATCTGTCGTAAATCAATTATACTTAAGCCGTAGTAATGGTTGCAGCAGAAAATTAAGTAGCGAACTAAAATCATTTCTGCTTCTTGTGTAAAAACCTAAAGAATAACCAAAGACCAATATTTTCAAAATATTGTATTGAAAGATTAACAAAAAAATTATTTTCTTACCTTCGTTGGCGGCACACGTGCGGTACGGCTACGCAAAATATCCAAAAGGTCTTTATCAGAAATATTAGTTAAATCTGGCACTGTGTTCTTCACATGATTGATGTACCGCAACAAATTTGTTTTTGGAATTTGGTAAATTTTCGCTGTGTTCCTAATCGAACTTCCATCGTTTATAATGGTTTTAACTGCTTTTAAAACATTATCGAGTTTCAACTTACTGGCCTTCTTTACTGCATTCGACGACATACTGACATAATATCTATTTAAAAATCACAAAAAATATTAATAAAGAACATAAAACATCATTTCAAACAAATTTATTGTCAATTTATATTCATAAAAATGGTAAATTGACATTAAAAATGGAAAAAAACATGCGGTCCACTCAAGGTTACAAACAGTGGTCCACTCATGGTGACATGCAACTTTTTATGGAAGCCACTGAAATTTTTTTGTAGTCAAAATTATCACTTAATTAAACGTAGACAATCAATTTCAATGTCCAAAGTATTAGGAAAAAAATTAGTTACCTTTTAAGATTTAAATTTCACACTATTTTACACTTTCAAATCACTTCACTTCTTATAAAAACGACTTTTTGGTGGTTTGTGTTTTTAAAATGGCGTTACATCAAACGATAACGTATATTTTTATCCCGGAACTTAATTTCTTACGGTCTCCGGGTGCGGCGCTGCTATTCACATTATTTATTTCACGTTTCCGCTTTCAGATAACTTAAAAGTTCAGGCGGTCCACTCAAGGTGGCGGTCCACTCAAAGTGACATTACCCTACTATATTTCCAAAATACATTGTTTTCTTATTTCTATATTAAAACTTGTATCATTATAGACTTCAAAGAGTTAATATTTATAGAGAGTTTAATTTTTAACTAATATGAGCGTTTAATCGTTCGTGCCCTCAATGACATACTTTCTATGCAGTTAGGACAAAAAATTATGTTTGCATCATGGGCGCAAAGGTGATTACGACTCTGGCGAAATTTCGGGACCTCAGGGACACTTTCGCTCCCTCGGCTTCGCCTCGGGCGCGAAATTGTGCCCCCTCGGTCCTTTCATTCTATTTTGCGCCCTTGATACGAAAATAACTATTTTGTAATAGGTGCAATGCACTCAAATTCTTCATCTGTAAAATCATTTTCACTTAAAAATCTTTCTTTTTTAGCAGAAGTTTCGCTTAGATTTTATAAAAATGATTCCAATACATTACCTTTTAAAATATATATGGTCTATTAATGTACCTGAAATTGGCTAAAAAGTGACCAAAAAAGCATTCTTACTATAAAGACATTTACTCTACATTCAACAGAGAGTCTTTGCACATTATCCTGTGTATTGCAAATAATACAAGAATGACTCGAAGTCTGATGGACTACATTTAGTCTTGTACACTGATCTCTATATATAACTGGATGTAGTTTTGGGCTATTTTCGGTTGTGACAAATTGAACGACTAAACGCCATATTACTGAGCAGTGAGTTTCTCAAACATGGCGTTCGCGATTGCGCAGAATGCAAAAAATGTCTGCTTTTGTGTAGTATTTACAGTCTGTGTAATGTATTTTTGAAAGTAAATTTATTTGCAGTTATTAATTGATATATTGCTTTATTATTATTATAATTAATTTAAAAAATAATTGCACGATGGTGAATCGTGTTTGTATTGTGGTGAAGAGCAAACTCAAATTTGTGACAAATCATTTCACAAGTAAGTGTATTATGTTTTGAAGGTTATGTATTTATTAAAACAAAAATGTGATTTAAAAATTAAAAAAAAATATTTTGTTATATCTTAGGAATCGTTTCTATATTTCTATATCTATATTTTTTACTATTTGTAACAAAAAATTCAAAGTTTAGTGATTTATTTTAATGTTTTCACAAAAAGGAAAGTTATGTATTTTTAATGTATTTATAATGTTTAAGTTTATCTCAGATAGAGATTTAATTTAATATTACACAAATTACTTCTTCAGTATAATTATAGTGTAGAAGTAATTTTTCAATTAATAGTTTTTATATTTAATACAAAAAATAATTATTAATAATTTTTAATAATAGTATATGAGGAATATAAGTTTTCAAAACCTGATAAATCAAAATTTTATTATTTCGAGAAATTTAAACAAATGACAATTCTCACATAACCATTAAAATTAACTTTAATGTAGAAAAATTGTAATCTTTTGTACATTGAAAGCACTCTGTTTGTATAAAGTCTATTGTAATAAGGGAATTTAAAGGTTTTGGTAATTTTTTCTAATACAAAAAATAAAATTAAAAATCATCAAGGTTAGACGAAAATATTTTTTAAATTGAAAATTCTTTGGTAATAATTTTTTTTGCATAAATTAGAATAGTGATAAATCGATTTATAAGGATTTTCTTCTTCTTTACTACAATAAACTGTAGTTAATATGTGGCTTCGAAAAATGAGGCCAATTCTATTGATTTATAAGGATTTTAATATTTTGAATGTGTGTTTATCTCAATTCTTTTGAAAAATAAATTACTTCTGATAATGTCCTAAAAAATTAAATTACAATATATGCTAATTGTTTTATAGATTTCCATTCAATAATGAAATGTTATTGGAAACATGGATCAGGAACTTAAATCTTGGACAAGACTTTAAACCTTCTAAGGATGCAGTGTTGTGTTCTGACCATTTTGAAAGAAATTGTTTTGATATTAATTTTAGTAACAGGAAGTTATTTCCTGGTAGTGTTCCCACAATATTTTTACAATATAAATGTGCGTGTGTTTATTGCCATGTTTCAAAAAAGGAGAACCATACTAGAACTTTCCGCAAGTAAGTTTTCAGTTTTCAAACGAAGACTTGTTTCCAAGGTGCAATGTCAATTTTTTAAAATTATAATTTGATTATTACTATAGATTTCCATTGGACGATGGAGTATTATTGAAGAAATGGTTGTTAAACATGAATTTTAAAAATTTTATTCCCAATAGAAAAAGTTTGTTGTGCAGTGACCATTTTTAAGGTGACTGTTTTCGAAGAACTGGTCGAAAATTAAAAGTTTTGACTTTGAAAAAAATGCTACACCTACAATTTTTTTAAGGAGTGAAGGTAATGGTAAGATTTTTCTAATCCATTTTATAGAAAGCTGTAGGGGAGAGTAGGCTACATTGAACCAGCGTCAACAGTGAACCACTTTAATTTTCTGAGAAATGACTGAGTGAAATGTTTTCTTATTTAATATATAAGTTAGTTTTACTGAAACAAACTATGTCCAAAAATTTCGGGCACGTAGATTTATTATTTATAAAGAAAAACTAAAAAAACTGTTTTTCACGTACAAAACAAAAAATTTTGTGGAAATATAATCAAGTTTTTTTTTAAATAGGAAGTGTTAAAAATTAGTAAACTTGTGATTTATTTTGCTTAGGGTATCAACTTCAATATTCCGATGTGATAAAGAATTTTAACTCTTACATAAATTTATTATAAACAATTTTTGTCGTGAATGTCATGTGAATACAGTGAGTGCGGCATCATTGAACCACCCAAAAAAGCAAAGAATTTTCAATTTTAAGAGTTGTAAAGTTGTCTGCTCTACTAATTAGTAAGAAAAATACTGGAAGACATGCTTTCATCACAATTGTAAACGAGATAAACTCAAACTGTCACTTTACCTACCTAACCTGACAGCAAAATATATTAATCTCCTATATTAACAAATAATAACTCTTTAACAACAATTTTCTATTTTTTTGAGTGAAAAATAAGATTTTTTACAATGTTTATGTGGAAATATTATTTTTGAAGTAAATTGTAGTGTTTTATTAGAGGTGGTTCAATGTAGACACAGATCCTTCAAAATAAGAAAAGTGTAACTTGTTAGAAAAAAATTAAATTTAATTATTTAATCATAATAATTTGTGTTTGTAACGTGTGTATTAACTAAAGGAGTACTTCATCTTAATTTTGATACAAAAACCTGATCGAAATTTGTAAAATTAATTTAGTTCTTGGACTTTATAAAATACCCGGTTCAATGTAGCCTACCCTCCCCTAGATATATAATACGAAAAATATTTTAGCGTAATGAATTTAATGAAATTTTAGTATATATAATTACAATAATCAAATTTATTATAACCATTTATACAAAAGAAATAAATTTACTCTACATTTTTAATAAATGATATCCGAAGTAAAAGTATGGTTTCATATGAGTCCAAAGTGCAGAATACAAAACAGGAAATCATGAGTGAAAAAGACATACCCTATATCTTTTATACTCATAATTTTTAGCTTGCATTGTGCACTTTATAAAAATACATGTAACCGTACTCTATCTCAAATAGAATGCTCAGTGGATATGAATTTAAGCCATTCACAGGAACAATGTTTATCACCACCATTAATTTCCGAGGAGGAATTGACAGAAGCAGAATCAAATAAACCAATCACTTTAAATAATTTTCCACCATCGAAAAAGTTTAAATGTACACCAGATTTGGAAAAAGCATCAACTCCTTCCACAACGAAAATTTATGACTTGAATGAAAACAATATTTCAGGTGAGCAAGTAACTTTTTAAGACAATTAAATATTAACATTTTGCATTTCTTTTTAAATTTCTTTATTATTTTCATTTTAAGATAAATATATTTTCCCAAACTGTATAGGGATATTAATCAATTAAAACATCTTGCTATTGAAGGTATTAAAACTTTATTGTTATTGACTTTTCCATTGTAGGAACTTTAGAACCACCAGTTTTAGAACCCTCACAATCGTCTCCAATCTGTGACAAATTGCAGCAAACTGACTTGGGAAAGGAAAGATTATTAATAAAGCATGATCATGGCTACGAGAATTCTCCTAAAACAACCAAGAGGAAGCTTTTAAGGCAGCAGCGAACAATAAAAATCTTAAAACAGAATTCCCGCGTACAGAAGCAGCACATCTTACGCCTTAAAAAGCGTATTACCTCATTGAAAGATATCGTAAGTGAATTGAGACGTACAAGAGCAATTCCAGAATCTGGTTTACAATGTTTAGATTCTATTGCTGATGCCGACGTGTCCCAGTTTTTGCAAAGATTTTTAAGAATCAGAAAAATGATAGTAAAATAACAATTAAAAGAAAGAGGCAATGGAAATGTCAGCGTAAAAACGCAGGTACGGGAATTACTAGAGAAAAATATCCACCAGCTCTTAGGTCGTTTGCCATGACATTACATTTCTATTCACCAAAAGCTTACGGGTTTGTTAGACGTAAATTTTGTAAAGCTTTACCAGATCCCAGTACTTTAAGATCATGGTATTCTTCCGTCGATGGTGATCCTGGTTTCACTAGTGAAAGCTTTAATGCTCTAGCTTTAAAAGTGGAAGATGCAAAAAAATGCAATAAGAAAGTTCTTGTCAGTTTAATGCTAGATGAAATGTCGATTAAAAAGTCTCTGCAGCGTTTGCCTAACGGTAAAGTTTCAGGTTATGTTAACTTAGGAACAGAGATAGAAAATGATGAAACTAATCCTATAGCTAAAGATGCTCTAGTAATGATGGTCGTTTCATTAGATTGTTCTTGGAAAACCCCTATAGCTTATTTTCTGATTAATGGCATTACTTCTGTAACAAATAGATGCTTTAATTCGACTTTCTAACATTGGCGTTGAAGTTACTTCTGTAACGCTCGACGGTCCAACAGAACATTTTAGTACAATGAAAGCTCTTGGAGCCTCTTTTGATTTATTAAACCTAAGGCCTTTTTTTCCTCATCCATGTGAAAATAGAAATGTTTTTGTTAATTTTGATCCTTGTCATTTATTAAAATTAATGCGGAATTGTGTAGGTGCACAAAAGGTGTTAAAAGACCGTTCAGGAAATTTAATAGAATGGAAATATATTGAAAATCTGCAACGTTTGCAGGAAGAAGAAGGTTTGCGAGCAGGCAATAAGCTTACCCAGTGTGCACGCTCTATAACTGTTCTATACCAAAAAAAGAACAGTGTTCTGGAATAAATGTTACAATTTTATCATAGAACCATTCTAGAACTTCGTTCTAGATTTGTTCTGGAACAGTTGTTCTGTATATGTTCTATAACAAACGTGTAACATTTGTTCCAGAACATTTGTTCTAAATTAATTATAGAATTTCGAAGTAACATTGTTCCTACAGTGTTCTAGAACACTGTTACAAAAATGTAATATAACTTTTCTATCACTGTTCTATCATTATAAACACGTGTTTATTTTCACTAAAGGCAGCTTACATAAAGCTTACAAATAGGCTAATTTGAATTAGAATTCATACAAAAAATCTTAACTATAATTCTTGCAAGTCATAACTTTTTAAATGTGCATAATCTTTTATAGAATAAGAGTAGAGAATTTAATAATAGGTTTCACAAATATGTACAAAATGAAAAAAATTGGGTATAAAGAAAAACAATTATATAATTCGTTACAAAGTAAATTTATTCATACAAATGAATGTTTTCTTTACTTATTATTGAAATACAAAGGTAGCATCGAAACTTGGAACAAAACACTATCTTATGCGATATCATGTACCCTTTAAATTAAAGTATTGCAAATGCCTTTTATCCGTCCAACAGAAAATTATTAAATAGATTTTAAAAAATCGTTAAAGTTACTGTTGAAAATACTGATTGCAATTATACTTAGATAGTAATTAGACAACATATATTACTAATACTCATCATTATTATGCTTAAATAAATATCAGACTGTGTCTTATGAAATAATTAATATAAACGAATAGAAACAATGTTTTCCTTAAAAATTTAGCAAAAACGAGAAAGACAGTTTTATTGCAAATGCTTTTTATCCGTCCAACAGAAAGTTATTAAATAGATTTTAAAAAATCGTTAAAGTTACTGTTGAAAATACTGATTGCGATTATACTTAGATAGTAATTAGACAATATTTATTACTAATACTGATCATTATTATGCTTAACCCTTAAACCGCACCCTGGGTGTGCGACACCCATATTCTACCTTTTTACTCTAATATCTCGTTTAAAGTCGTAAAAATTGAACATATGTCGCTATTGGATGACACATTTTGTACTTAACTTTATGTTCCGTGAGGAACATTAGTCTCCCAAGTGTCTTTGTGAATTTGATAACTTTATGAAATTAACAGCGAAAAATTTCTGGGTGGCTGATACCCAGTTTTCGGTTTAAGGTGATTTCAGTAGTTTTAAAAAACATTTTTTTAATTATTAAGAATAAATAAATCATTATGAAACTTATTTTCCTTCAAAATAGATGTACTGAGCTACATAAGATAATTTTTCTGAACCATAATATCCTTTTCCAGCTTGGAGAACACACTTTAAAGTCCCCGGGTGTCGCACACCCAGTGTGCGGTTTAAGGATGGATTCGGAAGTGTGCGGTTTAAGGGTTAAATAAATGTCAGACTGTGTCTTTTAAAATAATTAATATAAATTATATAAAAAAACAAAAACAATGTTTTTCTTAAAAATTAAGCAAAAACGAGAAAGTCAGTTTTCAGCTTGCTGACTCTGCCTTCGAGCACTTTTCCTTCTACAAAAAATTATTTATTTAGCATAGCATACACCAGCTATAGTTTATTAAAAAATTTATAAATTTTCAAATTACTTTATTTTTGCTTTCTCATAAAGGAAGCCTTATAGTGATGTCCATTTCCGAATTTTTTAGAATCAATTATTTTTACAAATTTTCAAGTGTAGTATATATAATTCGTTGAGAGGAACAAATGTCCGGATGTATGTGTGTATGTATGTGTGTGTGTGTGTGTATGTATGTCACCGATTCTTGTGGACAAATTTTCTCTTACACGTCTTGACGGATTTTGATAAAATTTTATAGGTGTATTACGGTCATGAATACTAAAAATCAGACAGAAGGATTTTCAAAAATATCTAAAAAAAAATTTTTTCAACAATTTTTTAATTTTTGAAAAAATTAATTTTTGGATTTTTGAAAATAACTTTTTTCTATATTAAAATTTTCATTAATTCTTGGCAAAATTGCATTCCTGACATAAAAACGAATCGATTCATGTATATAAAGTATATATTTTATCAATATTTATAGAATTAATAAATATTTTAGATTTTCATAAAAAAATTGAAATTTTGTATTTTTTGAAATTTTATCTTAATACTTTAAAATAATTATTCTATAATAAAAAAATTGAATAATTAATTTTTTTTTCAGGGTACTTTACCCGGTAGAAACTTTCTATTAAAACTATTACGAAAATGACCATAACGTTCACATTTTTTTACCTAGAGAGTTAAAAATTGGCACACGTGTATTTTTACGCGTAGATCACACGAGAAATATAGCTAATGCGATTAAAAATTAATTTTGTTCGATTTTCGTAAAAAAGACATATAGAAAATAAAAATATATATATATATTATAGGAAAAATATTTTTTGAATTAATTTTCATAGCGTTTACAGTGAAAAAATAAAATCTCTTTTTGTGTACTCAAAAATATTTTAACTCCAGCTGGTTCTCACAATTCCTAATCTAGTGGTCAATTCTTTTCAATTAAAATTCAGAATATAAAAACTATAAAAATTTGTTTTTAAAGAATTAATTAGCAGATATGAACAGAAGAAATTAATTTATAAATAATTATTTATTCAAAATAATGTTTTTATAGGTTTCTATAATATCCTTCGTTACATATATAGTGTAACTAATACTTGTTTTATTTAATTTTTTTTTATTTATTGTAATTAATAAATGTTTTTATAAAATAAATGAGAATACATAATAAAGTTTTTAAATAAAATTAAACTAAATTTATATATTTATTTATTTAAAATTTTTTAATTTTATAAAAATTATAATATATTGAACATATTTATAGTTTAACATTGTTCTCCTTTTTTCCACTGCTCAATTATATTATAAATGATTTATATAATTTTATTTTTAACAAATCTTCTGGACGAACCCTTTTGTACATAGTTTTTCAAAAGTTTGCAAAACCGCAATTTTTATACATTGAGGAAGCTAAATGGTCATGAAATGAACAACTTTTTTCTCTTTTGTATTGTTGGTTCGCAGTTCAGCATCTTCGTCCTCAAAGGCTTATAAATATGAAATATGTTTTTAAAGTTGTACCTTAAAGTCGTATGTATATATTTTTTTAGTAAAGATGCCAAAGGATATTTGTAATCTGACAAAGAGGCAAAAATCGCGTTTGATTCAAAGCGAATCTAAAAAGATAAAACTTGATTTTCCTGCTGCTACGTGTGTTACAACTAAAGGTAATAATTCCAATGCTACTGCTCCTGTCTCATCAGTCGTTTTCAACAAGTTAATAGTAGGTGAACCTCTTCAGTCTTTTAGTAGAGATAATAATAAAATAACAACTGACTATATAATATCTGACGATTTATCTCCTAATCATAATTTAGAAATTGAAGCAGCTTCCATTCAAGAACTTAATATACACACCATGCAAGAAGATTCTATTGATCAAAGTTATAATGGTTTTGAAAGTAATGTTGTAAATAGCGATTTGTCAGATAGAGATCATAAGAACTCTGCGTATGAAAATGAAAATAGTAGTAGCGATTTAGATTTATTAACTGATTTGAAAAACATTATTTTAGAAGGAAATTTAAGTCATAGATTAACAAATAAGTTGCTCAATGTTTTAATTAAGCATGGCCACACTGAATTACCGAAAGATAGACGTACTTTCATGAAAACTCCAAAAAATTCTACTTTAAATTTATCACCACTGGGTCCAGGAAATTATTATCACTTTGGTTTGTCTTCAAGCATTGAAAATTCTATAAAGAAATATTTTTAAAAAGTTCCGAATGCAATAAAAATTAATGTACACTTTGATGCTATGCCTCTTGTAAAAAGTTCAGGAAGTAATTTTTATACGATATTGGGAGCAATAGTTGAGAAATTTTATACGGAACCTTTTGTGATCGGTGTGTATCACGGATACTCAAA